CCTCCACTCAGCGTCTCTATGCGTCCCATTGGACCTGGTGGGCTCTGTTTTGCTCCAGGCGAGGGATATCCCCGTACAGGCATGTCCCGTGCTACAATGAAAGCGAGGAATCATTATTTCTCGATTTTATTCTACATACGTCGCTCAACGGCCTCCGATCCCACGGCACTATCAAGATGAGGTTGGCGGCGATCCGGTCAGAACATCTGACGGTCGGCTTGCCCAACCCGCTTGCACAGTTTCCTCGGATCCCACTGGTGCTCGATGGAATAAAGCGCAAGTACCCAGCGCTGAAAAGGCGACACCCAGTTACGCCTGCCATGCTCCTGGCGGCAGTTAGGCTGCTGCAGCACGAAAAAGATGGCCCAGTGATTGTGCTGGCGCTCTTCCTGGGCTTCTTTTTTCTCCTCAGAGCCTCAGAGCTAATAGGAGACGCCTGGCATGGACAAACTCGGGGCCTTCGTGGCTGTGACGTGGTTCTGCTCCGCGGCGGGAAACCCTGCCCGGAGAGGGAGCTTCACTTGGCCGACGAGCTGAGAATTTCATTCAGAGCTCGAAAACCGACACCTACAACGCGGGCGCTTCGCGAAATCATTTCGCTACCGGCCAGGAGCTTTGCCCCGTTCGGGCAGCGATTAAAGTTTTCCAGCTCTATCCGCAGAGATACCCTGGAGGCACCGAGCAGGATGAGCACCTTCTCCGAGGGGAAAAGGGAGATCTCCTCACTAGGCAATTTTTGCAGCTAGTGCTGCAGCAATGCGCTGAACATGTGGGTGAATCTCCCGCGCTCATTAAGGTGCACTCCTTGCGCTTTGGGGGCGCGAGCGCACTCTGGTCTAGATACCAGAATGCTGAACTCATCAAGAGGTACGGAAGGTGGACTTCGAACGCCTACCAGTCCTACCTCTGGGAGTCGCGTGAATCTGCGCGAGGGGTCGCTGAGAGTATGGCACTAGCAGACTTGACCCCCAGCTAGTCGGGCATTTTGCTTTGTTTCGGCTACAGCCGCGGTGCGTCGGGGGTCCGGATCTCAATTTGTGCATTCGCTTTCGGCCTCTTCGTTTTCTTTCGTATATAAGGTTCCTTTTATGGACCTCCCTCCCGAGGCGAGTTTCTCGCCCGGGCTCCCCCCTTCGGGGGGCTTTTTCTCCTTTGCAGTGGGGGGTGGAGCAGCGAAGCTGCAAAGACGACTTCGTTCGTCGCGCGCTGCCAAAAAGGTTGTGTGTGCTTCGGAGTGTAGGAAACTTGGTAGCCTTGTATAGCCGTGTAGGCGTAGAGTTTCCTGTTACCCGTAGCACGGGCTCAAGGGTACCACACCCGCCCACCCCCGCAGCGAAGCTGCAAAGACGACTTCGTTCGTCGCGCGCTGCCAAAAAGGTTGTGTGTGCTTCGGAGTGTAGGAAACTCTTTTTTTTGTGTGTCAAAATGTCTTTTTTTATGTCTCAGTTGACGTCTCGGCTTACACATTCCAATGTCTCGGCCATGTCTCGGCCATGTCACGGCCATGGTGAGGCGTCTACGACACAGGACATCTGTTCAGGCCTAGGCCAAATTAGAAACCCGCTCACCCATGGCATTGTCTCGGCCATCTCACGGTATGTCTCAGTTGACGTCTCGGCTTACACATTCCAATGTCTCGGCCATGTCTCGGCCATGTCGCGGCCATGGTGAGGCGTCTACGACACAGGACATCTGTTCAGGCCTAGGCCAAATTAGAAACCCGCTCAAACCCTAAACCCTAAACCGTAAAGCTTCAACTCTAAAACCTTAAACCCTCCTAAGCCGTTAACCCTAATCCCTAAACCCTGGCGAACCCCGAAAAAGGGTCTCGGCCGGGTCTCGGCGGAGTCTCGGCCAAGCGTAAATCCTGAACCCTAAGCCCTAAACCCCTAAACGTTACAACCAAGTCCTTAACACTAAACCACAACCCTAAACCCTAAACCCTACACCTAGACCCTAAACCCTACACCCAAACCCTAAACCCTAAACCAGAACCTAACCCTGAACCTTACTCCCAAACCCTAACCCTAAACCCTAGAGCACAACCCAAAACCCTAAACCCTAAACCCTCGTAAGCCCTTAACCCTAATCCCTAAACCCTGGCGAACCCTAGATCCGGGTCTCGGCCGGGTCACGGCCGAGTCTCGGCCAAGCGTAAATCCTGAACCCTAAGCCGTATATCCTAAACGCTTAGCCAAAAACCCCTAAACCTTACAACCAAGTCCTTAACCCTAAACCACAACCCTAAACCCTAAACCTTACGCCCAAAGCCTAAACCCTAAACCTTACACCCAAACCCTAAACCACAACCCTAAACCCTAAACCTTACACCCAAACCCTAAACCCTAAACCGTAAAGCTTCAACTCTAAAACCTTAAACCCTCCTAAGCCGTTAACCCTAATCCCTAAACCCTGGCGAACCCGAAAAAGGGTCTCGGCCGGGTCTCGGCGGAGTCTCGGCCAAGCGTAAATCCTGAACCCTAAGCCCTATGTCCTAAACCCTTAACCCTAAACCCCTAAACCTTACAACCAAGTCCTTAACCCTAAACCAGAACCCTAAACCCTAAACCTTAGACCCAAAGCCCAAACCCTAAACCACAACCCTAAACCCTAAACCTTACACCCAAACCCTAAACCCTAAACCGTAAAACTTCAACTCTAAAACCTTAAACCCTCCTAAGCCGTTAACCCTAATCTCTAAACCCTGGCGAACCCCGAAAAAGGGTCTCGGCGGAGTCTCGCCAATACAACCAAGTCCTTAACCCTAAACCACAACCCTAAACCCTACACCCAAACCCTAAACCCTAAACCAGAACCTTAAACCCTAAACCTTACTCCCAAACCCTAACCCTAAACCCTAGAGCACAACCCAAAACCCTAAACCCTAAACCCTCGTAAGCCCTTAACCCTAATCCCTAAACCCTGGCGAACCCTAAATCCGGGTCTCGGCGGGTAACGGCCGAGTCTCGGCCAAGCGTAAATCCTGAACCCTAAGCCCTATGTCCTAAACCCTTAACCCTAAACCCCTAAACCTTACAACCAAGTCCTTAACCCTAAACCAGAACCCTAAACCTTAGACCCAAAGCCCAAACCCTAAACCACAACCCTAAACCCTAAACCTTACACCCAAACCCTAAACCGTAAAGCTTCAACTCTAAAACCTTAAACCCTCCTAAGCCGTTAACCCTAATCCCTAAACCCTGGCGAACCCCGAAAAAGGGTCTCGGCCGGGTCTCGGCGGAGTCTCGGCCAAGCGTAAATCCTGAACCCTAAGCCCTATCCTAAACCCTTAACCCTAAACCCCTAAACGTTACAACCAAGTCCTTAACCCTAAACCACAACCCTAAACCCTACACCCAAACCCTAAACCCTAAACCAGAACCTTAAACCCTAAACCTTACTCCCAAACCCTAACCCTAAACCCTAGAGCACAACCCAAAACCCTAAACCCTAAACCCTCGTAAGCCCTTAACCCTAATCCCTAAACCCTGGCGAACCCTAAATCCGGGTCTCGGCCGGGTCTCGGCGGAGTCTCGGCCAAGCGTAAATCCTGAACCCTAAGCCCTATGTCCTAAACCCTTAACCCTAAACCAAACCCTAAACCCTAAACCTTAGACCCAAAGCCCAAACCCTAAACCACAACCCTAAACCCTAAACCTTACACCCAAACCCTAAACCCTAAACCGTAAAACTTCAACTCTAAAACCTTAAACCCTCCTAAGCCGTTAACCCTAATCCCTAAACCCTGGCGAACCCCGAAAAAGGGTCTCGGCCGGGTCTCGGCGGAGTCTCGGCCAAGCGTAAATCCTGAACCCTAAGCCCTATGTCCTAAACCCTTAACCCTAAACCCCTAAACCTTACAACCAAGTCCTTAACCCTAAACCAGAACCCTAAACCTTAGACCCAAAGCCCAAACCCTAAACCACAACCCTAAACCTCACACCCAAACCCTAAACCCTAAACCCTAGAGCAAAACCCTAAACCCTAAACCCTCGTAAGCCCTTAACCCTAATCCCTAAACCCTGGCGAACCCTAAATCCGGGTCTCGGCCGGGTCTCGGCGGAGTCTCGGCCAAGCGTAAATCCTGAACCCTAAGCCCTATGTCCTAAACCCTTAACCCTAAACCCCTAAACCTTACAACCAAGTCCTTAACCCTAAACCAGAACCCTAAACCCTAAACCTTAGACCCAAAGCCCAAACCCTAAACCACAACCCTAAACCCTAAACCTTACACCCAAACCCTAAACCCTAAACCGTAAAGCTTCAAGTCTGAAACCCTAAACCCTCCTAAGCCCTTAACCCTAATCCCTAAACTTGAACCGTAAAGCTTAGAACCACAGCCGAAACATGTGTATGTAGAACAACAGACAAAAAAAGACATTTTGACACACAAAAAAGACATTTTTGACCCCAGACTCCGATTGCGCCCCAGGCACGAATGCCCCTTGATGCTGTAAGCTAAAAGTCGTTTCGTGAGCACCTTGCTTGGGGTGATATGCAGCTGGAAGCGTAGGTGCCTTACTGCGTTCCTCCTCCGGGGTATCTGACACCCGCAGGAACTCCCTGAACTCCTGAGCCCTACACCTCTAAACACGTAAACCCCTAGAACCCTAAATGCCCACACCTAGAATATCGGTGTCGAAATCATAAATGAGAACATCGCCTTACAGCCCTTCTACAACCAGAGGATAGTCGACCCCTGAACCCTAGTCTAGTGATAAAGGCACCTAGACCAAGGCCTAATAACAACCTTTCAGAAAGAAGCCCGTGCAGACACTTTCAAAGGAACCCTCAAAGGCACTTGTGGGTCCCCATAGTACATGAGAAACACTATGACAAGAAGAAAACTGACAATGAAAATGATACTAGTAACAAGAAAGCTAGCAACAGCAATAATAACAACACTAGCCACAAAAAGCAACAAACACAACATCAATAAGAGTAGTCATCCCAACAAGGAGAACAAGAATTGACTTCTCAGCGTCCTCTCGGCTCTGCAGGTGCTGAGCCGAAAGCCCTTCCAGATGCCCACGGCTGGTGCGAGCCCAAACAGAAGCCTTGGGGGGAGTAATGCAGGTGCCTTGACAAATAGAATAGCTTCTTTTGGTTTGTTGAGGGGGAGGGTCCTTATTCATGATTAGAGTCTGATACACCCCAAGGCCCCTACGGTATTTAGAAGTAATCGGTGTCTATAACCCCAAAGACACAGCTAAATAACTTCAAAATTGTGGAAGGGGGTCCCAAATTCGGTGTAGAAAGCTTAAATGTAGCCTTTCACCTTTTGGCATTATTCCTACCATCCGTTTTTGGCCTAGGGTACGCAGCCCCTTAGGTAGAATAGGTGTGTGCAAAAGGCAGTGTGGCTATACAGGGTGAAGTACCGTAATGAGGCCGATATTGAAATGGCTGTCAGCTTGAGTACTTACAGTAGAAGCCAGAAAGTTGGAACATGGCTTTAGGAGGATTAGTGCTAGGATCCCTTATACTTTACCTTAAGGGCATGAGGAGAATGATGTTCCAACTTTCTGGCTTCTACCATAAGTCTTGCGAAAGACCTAAAATTACTGGACTTGGAGCCTGGAAGCAGGGTCCTTGAGGTTTCTGAGCCATGCACCGTGATCCTAAGCCCTAGAATCCCTAGAAGCATATACAGTGGTTCGAGTCCCATAAGCTGGGGGTTTGTGACTTAGGGGGCGCAATAATCAGATTTAGGCCAGTGCTGTTTTATGAAGGTCCCGGATTCGTCAAGCAGGGGTATTCGGCTCTTGGGGGGTTTGGCGTTGGGTTTATGGTTTATGGAGAACGGCATGGAGTGTAACTTAGCTAGATGAAACCCCAGAAAGAAATCCAAAAACGCAAATCGTAGACACCTTTACAGAACTGAACCCTATCAACCCCATAACGTTGAAGCTTCCAAACCCTCAAGCCCGATAGACCTCCAAAGAAGTCTTATCAACCCTCTATGAATCCTACACACCCCAGAAGAAGCATGTTGAAGCCCTGCAAAGGTCCTGTGAACCTCTACAAAGCCCTGGTAGAAACCCTATACAAGTTCATGATGAAGTCTCTAGGACTCCGGTTACCTGAGTACTGGGCTACTGGGATATAAGCTATTTGTTAGTAACCTACTATTCCCTAAGGGTCCATGTACCCAAATAGTATATACTTTGGCTCCAAAGTACCTATTTGGACTACGTTAAATGTATATATTATTTTGGGCACATGGACCCTTAGGGATTTAGGTACCAGGAGCCTTGGGATTATTCAAACTCCTTCGACAATAGGCCTCCTGAAACTCTACGCTGCGGTGCTGAGCAACTTGCCCACCTGGGCGGCGGACCTCCGACGTAGGCCAGGCACCTAGCAGCAGGTGCAGCACAGAAGCCTGAGATTACTGAAGGATTGTGTGAGGGTTATCGGGGGCCGGGATAATTCCCAGTGCTATTTCTCAGGACTCTTCATTATCAGTTCTCGTACAGTATACGTCCAAGCCTTAGTCAAGCTGTAGGGTTTAGGGTCCTTACAATGAGGATCCTATGGACCCTACTACTCAGGTGCTTTAATTCTGAGAAGCTTCACACAAGAAGGAAAGTTCAAACAGCGAACATTGCTCCTATCCTGTTTTTGTTGGGGCTATGCTTTTGGCCTGAGGAGGGGCCGTCTCGCAGCACCTTACTTGGAGGGTCGGGGGACTTAGTAACTGGGTATTTTAGGGACTTATAAGTACCATAACCCCAATAAGGGTCCCTTTAAGGGTACTTATAAGTCTACTTACTAACTACGTACTAAGTTCCCTAAAGACCCCCCAAGTACCTCAGGTTGCAGGCAGACAACCCCATCCCGGCCGTGAAAGATGCGGAGCTCTGCCTCCACATCGCAGAGGCCGGTTTGCAGGACTGGGATTTTCATCCTGTTGGCACTCGGTATGAACAATATAAGGAGCCTAAATTATTTCAATTAAATACAATACCAATTTTGGGCCCCAAAACCTTATTCTAATGATTAACTGATTAGGCTAAACAAGCCCAAACTGTGAGGCTCTGCCCAAGCGCACTCTGAGGCAGCACCGACTGTGTGTCCAATGATTTCCTTATAGGCCGCAGCCCGGCAAAGCCATCGAAAGCTGATCCCATTAGGGGGGTTTGGGTTTAGGGTTTAGGGGTTTGGGGTTTAGGGTTTAGGGGCCCAGAACGACGACCAGTTGGACGTGCCTGATGCTTCTCGCTCGTCTTTGTTTATCTAGCTATCCAGATCTGCTGGATTGTTCTTTCTTGCAGTCTCCGCCGCTGAATGCTCTAAGGCCCACATCTGCAACTCCAAAACCTCACGGCTATCTCTGAACCCCTATAATTAGGGGTACTTAGAAATATTTTTTAATTTTTGGTTATTATAATTCCTAAGAAACAGCTAAAATTACAATTTTTGCTAGGGTTCTAAGTTCAGTATAGTATACCCGAAAACCCAACTACCCCTAGCTCCTAGAACCAACGAAACATCATGAACTCCTGGCCCCTAAACCATCAATCCCATTCAGAAAATCGCAGCCCTAAACCCTCAACCGTAAAGTGAGTGAGTGAGTGAGTGAGTGAGTGTCGACCTGGGGTGCTCTCCGGCCTACGGAAACGGTCCCTCTCGCCTTCTTTGCCCCTCCGCATACGTCATCAGGGCTCCGGTGCAGAGTTCAACGCTCCGGGCCCCTCGATCCGAGCCGGGGATTAGGGGAGGGATGTGCCACCCGAACCTCCATGGGCCCGCCCCCCCAAGCCGGGCGGCTTGGGTTGGAATTGGACACTTGGCAAGACAGCCCACATCACAGGAACAAAGCTCTTCCCTCGATGATCTCTCACCGAAGTACTAAGCTGGGGACACTGGCTCAGAGAGGCGGGGCATTGGGGGGAGGGGTGGTCGACCAAACACGCACACACGCACAGCACCGGCAGCGAGACTAAGGGCAAAAGCACATTCAACTAATGCCCTTGTGGCTGCAAATACTCGAACAGTGTCCCCTTGGCGTGTGGGACGATGCCTGATGCCCCTCAACCGTAAACCCTAAACCCCAGACCCCTAAACCCTCAACCTAAACCCGATCCGTTCTTTCAGGTGGCCCTGGGGCTGGCCAGCAAAGCAGTGGAGGCCCTTTCGTTCCAGAGCATGGAAGATCTGTGCTTAGGGGTTGAGGGGTTAAGGAGTTTGAGTGTTGGTTTAAGCGGTTTGGGGTGATTTGCACCGCAGATTGCAGAGTCCTCCGCACGAATTCTTGAATCTTCATAGACGCGATGCACCGTGAACCTTTTGGGGGCATTGTAATCCCATATAGCCCTCAAGGTTAACCTTTAGTTCCCAGGATACTGGTCAAATAGGATTTCTTATATCACCAAATGTTTGGTGTTAGAAAGATCTTCAGGAGAAAGACGAGCCTACAGCCCAGTACCCTAAAAGATCCCTTATAGTTGTCTTTATAGACACCCTTAAAGGAACCCTCAACCCTGCTACGCCATGTGCCGGAAGCTCCATAAACTCGTCCAAACTGTCGAAGGGCTGGGTCCCAAAGCCACATCCCCGAGAACCCAAAAGGGGCCCCGGGTCTAGGGGATTCTATTGGGAAACGGTCTAGGGTTTAGCGGTTTAGGGGTTTAGGGTTTAGGGGCTTAGGGTTTAGGGTTCCTTTAAAGGGATCTATAGGGATTCTGTAAGGGTATAGGGTTTAGGGTTTACTTCATGACTTACTTAGCCTATTGGAGAACTTTAAACTTTTTGGCTTCATATATTTGGTCTAGCTTAAAAAGTTCGAACTTTGTTTGGGCCTGGTTATTGGAGAAGAGAGATGAAGGAATATACCATAAATCATCGAGGCCTTAATGAAAAGATTTAAGGCCTATTCCCTCACTAACGTCCGGGGTCCTCACCACATCACCATACTGGAAACCAAATCCCTGCTCTTGTTCAATATGGCCCCTAAACCCTGAACGCTTTGTAGGCCCTGCTGAAGGGAACCCTCTAAAGGGAACTCTATTCTACTTATTAAGGGGCCCCTACCTACACTATAGTAGCCATATAGATCCCTCGTAGAAGCATTTAAAGAACCCTTAAAATGAAGGCCTCACATCACCATATATCCCGTGTAGAAGCCTTTTAAAGGAACCCTTACTAGGACCCTCAGCCGTACTTAACCCTACACCCCTACACCCTAAACACCTAAACCCCTCAACCCCTAAACCCTAAGCCCCTAAACCCTGAATACCGTATCTCCGAGAAGCCAAAGCTTGGACTTACGATGCAGGATGGCACGAAGTCCACTTCTGCGCGGCCTGTCCTTGAGGCCAACTGTATATACGTAGATATATGTATATATATGTATAGAGATATAGTTAGACATATATGTATATGTGTTTAATAGCTCTGCCAAGTTAGCCCCTGAAAGCATTGAGGCCTCCTTCCAAGAAGGCTTTACTGCTACTACTCCCACTGCTGCTACTATTCCTCCTACTACACTGCCATTGCCACTACCACTACCGCTATGACAACGACAACGAGCACAAACTTCTGCACTGCAGCAGGGCAGTGTGGCCGCGAAGTTACGATGTCACGCGATGAGATTGCTTCTTGTACCTAGCATCACTTCCAAAGCAACATGTCACCTATCCATTCATAGGATCCATTCATGAGTGGTCTCCAGCGACGCTGTTGCCGTGTATAGCTTGCTGGGGCAGGCCCTTCTCGCTGACATCAGGACTGAAAAGGGCTTTGGGTCCACCTGAAAGCCACAAGTCGTCCCCAGCGTCAGAAACTCTAACCCGTTCTCCTAAGTCAGCCTAAACCCCTTAACCTGGATTTGCACAAGTATTCGAGCTTGAGAAACACGCATTCTTTGGATGATGTTTGAGCCCGTTGAACCATACTTAGCTAAGACAAAATAGAGGCCATCAAAATGAGTAATATTACTCCTTAGGGTTCCTATTACTCCTTAGGGTTCCTATTACTCCTTAGGGTTCCTCATTGTAGCAATACTCGAGTGTACCCCAAAATTTTTCGGATCAGGGAAGGCACTTTCAATCCTCCAGGTAGCCTGCTGTTAGGTAGCTGTAGGAGTACCGGGGTTCATCCTTCTCTTAGACCTACCTTCAACTACCAAACCCTACCTTTTTTGTGGGTGCTTATTGTAAACCCTAATAAGGAATTTCTAGCAACCCTACGAACAAGTAGGTTTTTGTAGGTTCAGGTAGCTGTTAGCTGCTCTGAGTCTTGCGTGGGGGATGGGTCGTGCGCTCTCTTCGCCCCTGCCCGGAATCTTCGTCTAGGCATCTGAGGGGATCTACCGGTAGGCTTGCTTTCGGGCTAGCTTCGGGGGAAATACAAAAAGCGCGGCGGATGCAGCGAAAATTGGCTTGCGTTGTTTGCAAATGCCATTTGCCAACACATCTCGAGGACTGCACTGGAAAAGCCCATGGGCGAGGCGCCGGTGCATGGAAACAGGATATAAGACATAATATAGAGTTCATGATACAGTACACATAATTTTGTATGCAAATTTATGATATCTAGAGTGAGTATAATGTGTAATATTACAATATAGAATGTATAAAAGACGACTTCAGGGAATTTCCTCCTATAAAAGGTGCAGTCGCTGCTGTCAGCCTTGCAGTAGTCCTTGTCACCCACGTACCCAGACCCCCAGGAGGATCTAGAAAGTAGATCCCCTAATGTGGGGCCCTATACTAGTAAGGGTACTTTACAGGAACCCCCATTGAGGCATCTAATTTTGGGATTTTTGTCGGTGGTCTGGGTAGCTCTAATAGACGCCCGTGTCTTCTCCCGATAGCCCCAGTAGCAGGACCTCAGCTAGGCCGCCGGCCCCAAATCTCTGGACTTTGTACCCAGAGATCCCAATACCCCTTAATTACGGAATATGCCTTAAATCACAATTTTTTTAAGGCCTCAGGTATTTTCTCTAACTAAGGGGTACTGGGTTCTCTTGGGAGTCGGCAAAACAGGGTTTAGGGTTCAATATGGCGCTCCTTGTTCTGATTGGTAATATCCTGAGTGTCCCTGCATCGCTGTTGTAGTGTTAAGGCACCGGTTTGAATACTGCAAGGACCTCGAATTCGATCTCTGCTTTCGGCATATGTGGCCTCAGAAATCACGCTGTAGCGTGCACAGTCCTTCTTTGCTAGGGTTTATGTAGGGGTTTAGGGTTTCGGGTTGTCAACCGCAGAGCTTGGCTGCTTTTGGGGCCAATTATCAGCTCAATGATACGTCTACAGCCCATGTTGCAGCAGAAGCAGCGGAGTCCTCGACAACTGCGTTCAGCTATTCCTAAGGGTTCCTATAAGGTACCCGGAGATCCCAATACCCCTTAATTAAAGAATATACCTTGCATCATAATATTAAGGCCCCTATTATTTCAGGCATCTTCCTGAATTAAAGGGTATTGGGTTCTCTGGGTACCCCAAACCCTAGCCTTGTCCTTTATATATTGCAGCCTAAAGCGAGAAATGGCGGGTCTTTTACGAAACCTCGCCAGGAATTGGCGATCCCTCGGAAACAGCTCCTGGCGGTGGCTCGGACCCCAGGAATGTTGCAGCCCTCAATCGCTTTGCGCCACATGTTGACATTTCAACGAGCTGCCAAGGACAACTATGTGTCATAGCAACATTGGCAATACTTCATAAAGCGAACTGCTCCAATCCCGTCCAGACCAGATACAAGGACCCCTATAAGCCTAGACCCTGAACCCTAACGCAAACCCTGCAATTAGCCCCCAAATCAAAGACCAGCCCTTAGGTGCAAGAGATGGACCCAGCAAGGAGCGCGCCAGCGCCCTTGCGCCTTCGAGGAGGTGCTTGGACGGGATTTTAGGCTTAGGAGTTGGAGTTTGGGGATTAGGAGGTTCGGGATGCGAATTTAGGGATCTGGGAGTAGGGTATGAGTCTAGGGTTGAGCAGGAGAAAGGCTAGTACTCTCTTACTGTTGCCATGATGCTTGCTACTTCTGAAAATTTGCAGCATGTCAGACCAAAGCCAATTTTGGCCTGCACCTTCGAGGACAGTTTCCTGCGCATTTAACGCAGTCGTGATAAGTGTCAGCTAAGATAGTCCTAGAGCACAAGGCCTGCACGCCCAGCGCACGCAGCCGCCTACAACCTCCAATGACAACACTATGGCCCCTATATTATAGGGGCCTCAATCATTCCCTATATTATTTTGAGGGCTCCTTATTAGAATTATGGTATATGTGATGGGCCCCAAGACCCTATTCTATTTATTGAGGCCCCTATATTGGCCCTGATTCTCAAGGACCCGCCTTCCCTTTTCACCCAGCGATCCGCCAGGCTTGCAGCCAACTCCGCCCCTTATTGGCCTGGCAAGCCGTGCGTAACTTCGCGGAAAAAAGCCGAGCGAGGCTTTCAGTGGGATAGGCGCCCATCATCATCATCATCATGGCAGCCTCCACCACTTTCAGCACCACTTCTGCACCACTTGTACCACCATGACGATGGAGGGTGGATGGCAATGACTGCCCGCGATAGGACTGCTTACTACGACCAGCGACCAGAGTTCTGTCAGCAGTGCTTGCTATGGCCAGTAAGGTGCCATCATGATGGGTCTGATGCGAAGTACAGGACGCTGTAAGTGTCATCATGTACTCTACGCGGTGTTTAGCCTTCGCATGTCTTCGTGCTTTTCCTGCAGATGTTGCCAGAATGATTCGCAGTTCACTCACTGTCACTTGCAGGCTCGAGCCATCTTCGCCTCAAGACCCTAAACCCCTAAACCCTAAAAAACCCCTAATCCCTAAACCCTAAACCCCCAATCCCTAAATCCCAGTCCACTGATCTGCTGGATTCAGGTCTCCCTGTAAAGCCAGATCTTATGAGCACTGCTGGCATGAGTGTGTGTTTTACAAACATCAAAGGGGAAAAGGAGGGACCCTTATGGGGACCCCTACCCTATAATGGGCTATATAATGGGTATATAATAGCTATATTAAGGGTCTCTTCCTAGGGGTCCTTACTAAGGGTCCCTCCTTTTCCCCTTTGAAAACATAGTGGTGACTGTCCCCTCAGTATTCATGTCTGGCTGCCCGCCTTCGAGAGCGATGGCAGATCTCCCCTCCCTCCATGCCTGCGAGCGACGCTGCGTGGCTTCCTCGGATCTGTGCAGTCTTCTGAGTTCGTGTTAGGGAGCTGACGTAATTTTGAGGTACCATGAAAGCTATCTATGGCAAACAATATGGTTTGGGCATATTTGTAGTATGGTAACTACCAAGCTCACTAGAACCAAGTCTTTCGGGACAGGCGGCTCAAGATCCTCTCTAGGTGCCTGGGCAAGGCCGGCTTCCGGCTTTGGGCGTTGGGGTTAATATAGGGGCCCTGATATTTACCTACAGTAGAAGCCAGAAAGGTCGCGCATGGCTTCAGGAGGATTAGTGCTAGGATCCCTAATACTTTACCTTAAGGGCACGAGGATAATGATGTTCCAACTTTCTGGCTTCTACCATATACTATCTTGGGAGTTCCTTATTATGTTTGTAGTATACTTGGAAAACTCTATTCTCATTGTTAAGGCCACAATATTATGGTTCAGGGTTAGGGTTTATAGTTGTTGTTTAAGGTGGTTTAGAGGTTTTGGGATTTGGGACATCGAGTGGGGATGTTCTCGCGTTGAAGATAATATACATCTTCAGCCATTGCCAATATTATGCCCTGGGGCTCCTTATTCTACTTGAAGGATCATGGGACTTAGTAAGTAGGTTATAATTGGGGTTATAAGTCCCCTGAGTGCGATTGTCCTAATTATAACCTACTTATAACCTTACTTGCAAAGCCCCATGAGCCTTTAAGTAGTTCTACTTTAATATGCCCCCCCAAAACCTCGTTCTGATTATGCACCCCCTATAATTACGAAACCTTAAGCCCCAAACTCTTGCAGAAGCGCTTGAAAGGGAATCCTCTAAAGGGCAGTGCTGAACCCTATTCTGCTTCAGAAGGCCCTTACACTATAGTACCCTTGTATAGATCCCTTCTAGAACCCTTTCAGGATCCCTTTAAAGCGAACCCTAATGTAGGAACCTGATTAAGACACCCTAGGCCTGTGTGCCCAAAATAGTAGGATTCATATAAGGAACCCTAATAAAAGGCCCAGGGTTTCTTCATCAGGTTCCTGTTTGACCCCTTATAGGAACTCTTATAGACCCCGCTAACGGAAACCTAATAAGGGTCCAAGGTTCCTACATGACAAGTAGCGTTTTGGGCCGCCCGGGACTTCGTCGGAGTTACTTAAGAAGGCCCCTACATCAGATTTTGTGTCTCGATAGGCCCCAGAGGAGCTTCAATCATTGTACTTTAAATTTACCCCCATTAGCTCCTACTTTGGGGGGTCAGGGGACTTAGTAAGTAGGTTATAATTGGGGTTATAAGTCCCCTAAGTGGGTTATTCTAATTATAACCTACTTATAACCTTACTTACTAAGTCCCATGAGCCTTTAAGTATTCTGCTTAAAAAGGCCCCCTATGCGAAGCCTTAAACTTCTTAAAACCTAAACCCTTACAGACTGCGCTTTAGGGCTTAGGGTTTAAGGTTTAGGGACTTATAGAAGCGCTTCCTTGGGGAAGTGTTGAACCCGAGAGGCCCCGGAGGATGGCATCGTTGCAAAGTGGAGGCCTTCTGCGAGTCGCTCATGTTGTTCTACTAGAAGTGATGTGCTGCAAGGCACCTTCTCATGTAGTCGTATGTACTGTTATATACATATATACACACATACATATAAACATATATATATATATATACACATATAAACATTATGTGTGTATATATATATATATAGTCTTACATGCACATTAGAACATACGATAGTGATGCCATGATACAGTATGATACTACTATGAAAACCGCTGGCATGGCAGTGGCTCCTGAGGTTGAGAGTTACCAGCCCTGTCTAGCGGACAAGCCATGAGGTTCCTGCTGGTTCTGCTGTTTTGCCAAGCACTCGAGTGCCTGGCTGTCCGCGGCGATAGACGTGAGTTTGTGAAAGAGAAGTCCGTGTGGCGTTCCGACTTCGCAAAGACGAAGGTTGTGCTGTGGACGAGCCTCGAGGATGCAGACTTCTACATGTTGTACGAGTTGGCTGCGGCTCACCTCTGGGCGTATCAGGAGTTCCGTCCGAATGTGCAGGCCATCTTCAGCAATGACGCTCGCTTTAACGCTGGCCTCATGGGTGAAATGGTCATCAACGAACTCTTCGACTACCGCTCATCGTTTGTCTCCGGGGGTGATGGCGACGTGTACCTCATTGTCGCATCCTCCAAGTACTCGCCCCGTGATGACAGCTTCATGGAGTCTGTCTTGAGACAGAGGCGTAGCTGGCCCCCGATGCATCTGAAGGATTTCATCGACCATTGTTACGTAGACTCTGGCGGTAATGCCCGGCAAAGCAATCCAGAGCCGGTGGCACGAGCCATGGCAGTGGAATGGAATGGGAAGTCCTTCAATGACTACAATGTTTGGGTCTTGCCAGTCTCATTGATGGATCAAAGCTGGCTGACCCGAGACTATCAACTAGGCTCCCCTAGAGAGGCTACGGTGATGGAGGCCGCAGATGAGCTGCTGATTGCCAAGGAATATACCAAGGAAAAGCTCTCGGAGTACATGGTCCAATCCATCCAACCCGGCCCAGCGAGGTCGGAGCATTGGGCGGAAGTCTTGTCTAGGCAAGATTTTGTTTGCAGGCATCCTTCTTGTCGTAAACATCCGCTGACGTGTGTATGTGATACATCGATATACATATAGAAAGGACGAAAGAAAGATAGGTAGATTCGATAGGTACTGCATGGAGCTTGGAATTACCAGGAACACGAAATTCACTGGCAGAATCCGCTTCTGGACGACGTTGAGGCCCGAGAGTTGTGCCTTGTCAGGTTCGACTACAAGATCGGACTTCTCGGCGGAAACGGGCCCATTGCCGGGGCCTTTGCCGTGCTGATGGTGGCGGAGACATTGCTTAAGGCCGGAGCATAACAGAAGAGGAAGTCGAGAACCCAAACCCATCAGCACACCTTCTCAAGGCCTGAGCCTCCTCGACTTTCGTAACTTAACCAATAATATAGGGGCCCTAATGCTTAGAATAGGGTTTTGGTGCCCAGTATGCTTTAATTGAATTCAGGAACCCCAAATAGTGTCGGTAATTATGAAGGCCCCTAGAGTGCCAGGCTGGCGGCAGCCTTGGCCACGTGGGCTTGGAGCTCTTCTCCCAGTCCCAACATCCCATGTCCGGTGCGGAAGCAGTGCGGTACCCCAGAATGGTCCAAACCTACATGGCCGGCTTGAACAAGTTCCTGACAAGGAAAGACATCGACATTTTTGGTTGTGCCAGCAACACCTGGTATCAGAACTTGTATGCCCCCAACAGCCTGAGCTGGGGTATGGCCGTTCTCTCCGGCTTCAGAATGGTACATATGCCCCGAGCCACCGTTCAGAAGGCTACGCAATGTTTGAACAGGAGCCGGCTTGGGATGATTGCGACCCACTGGACCCACCGAGCAGGGCGTCGTGAAGGTGAGGTTGACGCCGATGGCTTCCTGCTCGACGGCACAGGAATCCTTGAACGTGGCGCTGACATCGAGAACGTTTATGCCACGGAGGTCCAGGAAGTCAGCCAGGGCGGCGCCGTAATTGTCTCCGCGAATGTGGACACGGCTTGGGATGCGATCATTGTCGCGAAGCATGGCGATATTCAAACTGCCAAGAAGCTCTTCATGGACGAGAAGGTTGACGAGATTGAGGGTCTCGGAGTTCCAGAACACTTCGGCAGCGCGAACCAAGGTGTGTGGGCCGCAGGTCGACTCATCGGCAACGTGATGTATATCCAGAAGCAGAACGTAGACGCCATCATCGGTGGATGTACCGAAGTTGGCCTTGCACTGAACCAGCAACCAGGCCTCCCAGTAGCCCCCTTTTTCCGTTTGTGTAGTCCCAAGTTCCTTATAAAGCTACCCAGTACCAAAAAGCGAGCCCTTTTTATTCCTAGGTTACTAGGCATCCCAGGCAAGATCTCGACAGCATCTCCGAGCCGGGTTCCATCGCCTTTGTGGACTCCGGCGCCGTCATGGCCGAGGTCTTGGCAAAGAAGGCGCTGGCCGCTTTGACATAGTTGGGTAACATTTTGAATCTTTATGGGTACTTGAAAGAAGAAAAGGAATAGAAATGTACATTTTTGATCCTATCCCAACCATGAACTAGGCCAGAGGCAAGCAAATCTCCCTCTGCGACCCGGCTCCCGCTTCCTGAGCACGGCCTCTGCGAAATGCGAGAAAAGTGAAGGGCCGCCTGCAGACGGCTACTCAAAGAGTTCCCTCACAGTGCCCATGGGTAGATTAAAAGGTCAACCGACTCATCAAGATATTGTTTCGGCAGTGTCGAACATGGTCGGAAAGCACACGAACATCCTATCGGCCAGCCTAACCTAACCCCATGCTTGCACAAGAGAACCGGTAACTCCAGGGAAGGTGAGGCGCCATCGCCTCCACCCCCCAAGAGCTCCAGAAGAATAATTGGTCGAGATTCGAGTATTTCTATAAATTCTGATTATGCGAGAATGGATATTATTGAGCTAGTCGTTATTATTGAAAAGAAACGTGAAGAATTATTTCGAAATCTGAAAAGTAGTGATTTATTGCAAGATCTTCTGTTTTGTGGTCTTCTGGAGTACTATGGTTGAATGCTTGTTTTCGATTTCGGATTGGAAAACTTTCAAATTTGTTATTTATGGACTTTGATTTATCTCTCG